CTAACTAGTAGTAACTACAATGTATGAATTCATGTCTGGAAAATATTACCAAGACAAAACAATATATAATTTAGAAATTAAGTTTATTTTAGAAATTAATGAATTATTGAACAATATTGATGAAAATGTGAGCAAACATTTAAAACTATTTCTCATTAGTTAAGTAAATATTGATTTAAGTGTATATTATGTATGAATGCTTTCAGACACCAAAAGGCCATTTCTGTTGAGCTCCGGGTTTATTGCAAACAACCAAAAGTGAATAAACAATAATTAACACAATAATCAATACGATTAAAAAGTATCACAACTCTGTTTTGTATGACAATTATTTAAAACATATAATTGTTTTACAGAAAACGATACGAGTTTTATATCAAGAAATGATATAAAATTTCATTAAAAACTAATTATAAAATTTAGTAATTAAATGGCGATTAAAAATAAAGTTTTAGTATAATTACCAAAGGATTAGTTGAGAAACAAAAGTAATGCAGAGTTTTATATATTTAAATGACAAACAATTGACGAGTTTTTCAATTCAAATCAAAAGAGAAACAAAACTAAAAAACAAAAATAATTAAATTGTATTTGAATTCCTTTAACTTAACAAATAATTAAACTCAATGTACAGTAAAAGCACTTGAATTGCAAACAAAATTCTACGATAAGTACCTCTTCTTCGGAGACGACGACAACTCTTCCCACAAATCAGAACTCAGTTTCAAAACTAATAATTATATGAAAAAAATTTACTTTCAGTTTATTAGGGACGGGATGTGCGACAGTATTTCAAGATTCACTCTCTCTATCTTCTTCTCTCTCATGAAAAAAATATTTATTATCGGATTTACAGCAAACATGTTGTGTATATCGTAAGTGGCGTACCGTTTATATGCCATACCCTCTCATCTCTGAAAAAACATTCAAATTCTTCATCAGTTTTAAGACAACAATAGAAAAAATGTTTCGTTTGAATCTGTTTTCACAATTGATTGTAATCTTTGATGTTTTTCTAAAGAAAATTAACCCAAAAATGTCTTAATAAAAAACTTTTTTTTGTTTGTTTTGCATTTATGTTTTAAAAGTTCAATATATTCTGGATTTAAAATAGCTTTGAGAATATTCTGCTTACATAACAAGTTACTAAAAATAATATATTTATTACTTAATTAATATAAAATTATTTGAAATTAAATTAAAATGAATTTTATTTACTGTTGTTTTGATACAAAAAGTTTACGCCACATATGAAACATAAAAAGTGGTTTTTGGCTTTGAGTTTGATTTCGTTCAGTAAATATAATTCTGTTTTTCTCGTTATTGTATTACTTCTTATAAATATCTCAATAAAAACATCAGTCAATACAAAGAGCACTGATTGTTAATACGAGAAATATTTCGGTTAATCTTTATTTTTAAACTATAAAATCGTGTCGAAATCTATTTCGATTACCAACAGATAAATGTGCTCTCAATAACTCTTTTGTCATTTTTTGTTTCGTTTCATATCAAAAGTCTTATTGAAATTTATTGCACAATAATTTAAAACAAATATATATTTGACAAAAGCCTTGATATACATATAAATTGAAATTCATACAAATGTTATGACAATTGGCTCACAATAACAACAATAAGGCACACAAAACAACATTGGATTTGATTAACAATCGGTTTGCGAAGACGTTTGAACAGATGTTTTATGGATATAGAGATCATTTATTTTTTGACTTTACAAATAAGTTATAAAAGGGTTGAGCCGTACGAGTGTTTGTGCCCTTTAAAAGTTATTTATGAAATCCATGCGATCATCAAAATAATAATCTTATTTAGGATAATATTATTATCCAAATGCTGTGCTTTTCACTTTTGTTAACACTTTATTTTTAATGATTAAATAAATTTTTTCCGAGTTATTGCCTTTCGGTTTAATTAGTTATTATTCGCAGTCATTAATTTAGATCGTCGTTATATTTGAAACTTTATACCATAAATATTTTTGTTTTATTTACAATTAGTTTTTAACAAATATTTCTGTAATTATAACCACAAAACTATAAATATTCATAAAATGCAATTTACAAAATTATAAGTTATATTTTAATCATTACAAAATATTAATTAGTATAATTAGAATTTACTATAAAGTTAATTAAAAAATTAGTTTATTGTAAGTTACAATTTGTAACCCATTCTTATTATTTCATTTAATTATAATTATAAACATAAAATTAACCCTTATTTGACATGAAAATTAAATCAATAAAATAATGCATATTTATTATTATCTAAATTAGTTATATATAATATTATTCTTGAATAAATTAAACATAAAATAGGTTATGGCATACATATCGCCAATAACTAGTGGTGTACTTATTCAGTACTATTAGTGTTAAACCGTAGGGACAGATGTCTCAATGAGACCAACAATTTGTATGTTTGGCATATATTCTGGCAAAATATTCTTTGAGTAACTTTAGATTCTGTGTCTCAATATTTAAACATTTCATTTAAACATTTAATATATATTATAATTTTATTCCAACTCTTTGTTTGAAATTTACATTTTGTATTTAAATATAGAAACATTTTTATATAGTTGTTATGTGTGTAAGAGAGCAATGCTTTTATCATATCATAAATAATTAGATTACGAAACAATTTTAGACAACTTTCTTAAATAAACAATTGACGGATGATTCGCCTGTTATATCAATTGTTAGCGTTTTAATATACATTGACAATTGTTGGCAAAGTTAAAGCCCTTTTCCCTTATAATATACATACCTTCAATGATTACATTATATTATATTATAAGAAATATTATTTTTAAAACCCGAGAAATACCACTGTTTTTTCAACATTTGCAACAAATGCAAAACAATTTTTTCCTAATTAGTTGTCAATATATTTATAATTGATATTTAAAAACACAGCAAATATTCGTTATAAATACAAGAATTTTCTAAAAATACAATATTGTTATTAATATGATTGGGAGTTAAAAATATAACCGACAAATAAAAACAAAACGAAATACACTAATAATATAATATACAAATTATAATCTTTACAAACATGCAAAAAACATTTGGCTTTATAACAATTATTAAAATATAGCTAAGATCTAAGGCCAAAGGGTTTGCGCATTGCTTCCACATAGAAATCAAAAATAATAGTTAGCTTTTGGTGACGAAAATTAAATTTCTTTTTATCACAACTACTATACTGTGAATATAACCGGAAATGTTAGTTTAATTTAAATAACATATCAAATCTTAAGCAAACTGTTTATTTTTCCATTATTTTTTCGTTATTTTTGTAGTAAATAATAATATAAATTATGAAATCTGTGCTAAATTTTATGAAAAGTGTTTTTAATAGCAATAATAGCAGTGATAATAATAATACAGATAGTAATAAAACTAATAATAACGACAACGACAGCAATACTAATGGATTTAAAAACAAAACTGAATCCAAAAGTGAAGTAAGTTTTTAATTTACTTTTCAAACTGAAATTTATGTTAACAAGTGTTTAATATTTTAAATTTGTAGTTGAGATCAATTTGGTTATGCATTTAAAATAACATAAATATTTAAACACCATTCTTGTTTACAATTAAATGTTGAAATAATAGTGAAATACATTCAAAAATATAATGTTTTATAAGGAATTCATTACCAAATTCTTATATGAATGTAAATTATATCCCACTTAAAAGGTACTGAAATAACAAATACATTGTATTTAAGGGTAACATAGCGTAGAAGTGGGCGCTAATGATGTGTAAAATTTCTGATACTATTATAGATTTGACGTATAATACAAAGTATAATAATCTTTTTGCATACAATATAGCAATAATAATAAATATAAAAATATTTCTTGTAATACAAAGCCTACAAACTATTCTCGTATTTGACCTCTAATTTAGTTAATTTATACCGCAGTTAAAAATTGCTACAAAATGTTGATTAGAGATATGTTTGACAAAACAGATTTGTGTTTCAAAATGAGTTACATCTTGTAAATCAGGTTAGGAATCGTTTACATTGACCTCAATTGTTAACATCATATGTGTGTTACTGTAGTCTTACAAGTCGTTGCGATACCCATATTGAAAGACCGATTGAATTATTGAATATAACTTTCAATTGTAACCCGTTTTGAACGCATATCGAATCGAGAATTTGATTATTAAAATAAAATTTTATATTTGGAGACAAACAGAAAATACAAATCAGAGCAACAGATATGCAAATGTATGCGAATATAATATGCAAAGTGTGAGCAAAAACAAAACTCAATTGAATAAAGGGATGGTTTTATTGGTAAGAAAAGAGTGAAAAGTGTATGAAATGTATGTATGTGTGGGACAGGCGGGTGAAGAGGGGCTATAAATATCATCTCTGGTTGAGTGCCAAAGAGGCAGATCATCCAAATTGGGCACACATTCAAGGATTCACATCCACGGTATACACTAAACCGTACGGCACTCGCACTCAAACTCAGTGTTCAAACCAAACACTGGGTTTTAGAAGTTTTTTAAGTATAGATTACGTGTTTATAGTGGTAGAAGAAAGAGAGAGAATACACTGTTTTTCTCAAAAACACACTTTATTTCATAATCTGTTTTGTAATTAATAAGGGAGAGAGGGATATGAGAAGGAGAGATAGGGATTGAGTGCGAGATTCTGTGCCGGTATTAAAGAGTTGGCCGATAAGTGAAGATAACATCTCTTTTCAGTGAAGATATCAAACTCAACATTAACTCAAAAATCTCTATCCTTTTTGAGACTCTCTCATCCCTTTCCCCACTCTCTAAGACATACATCACTTTTACAGTGATTTGTTGGGGACTTGACATTAGACATAGAGATATAGAAAATTTAAAAAAATAAATGTATTTAAAAAGTTTGTTTTAAAAGAAAGACTTCAATCATAAATATTTAGAACTTGTGACGAAACCTCGAGTTTTCACCTAAATTTAATGTTTAGTTTATGTTTAGTTTATTTTTGAATTATTTTTACTCCTATTTATAAACACTTGAAATTCAGTCAAAATTATTTTCTTAATAAAATTTGGGTTTTTTGTCTTCGCTTTGACTTACTTTTGCTGGTGTTTTGTCAAGAAAGTCACGGATCGACTGTTTGTGAATGCGATGGACACACAGCTACCCAACGCCCCCACCAAACCCTTAGGTAATTATCTGTATTTATATTATTTTAATTAATTATTTCTAAACTATTGTTTAATTAATGTAATTTCAATGTTAATCATGTTTATTCATGTTGTTTACGTTTTGATTATAAAGTAATTAAGTGATTAATATTAGGATAATCTATAATTTAATCTCTTTGTGATTAAAATCTTAATCTAAGACACAGTTGTCGTCGAGTGTCAGGAAGTCATTGAATTAATAAAATATAATGAATTTTAATTAAATTGTAACATAATCTGAATTATAATATATCAACATGGTTTCATAATATTCTTTATTATAAGTTAAATTCTAGAAATAAAGTCTAGTTCATATCTTAGCAAAACCCAATTAAAATATTTCCGATTCAAACAATTTGTAATCATTTAACTGTAAAAAGGTTTAAAATCTTTGACCCAAAAAATAATAGTTGTTTATTCAGACAATAATTTTGACACTAAATAAATAAATCATTTTAAAAATTACTATTTATTTATATTAAGAATACATTTATTATGGCATCAAATGAACAGAATATTCTGTATAAATATATTCTTATTGCCAATACATTCAATAGAGACTACTATTACTCCGAAGCCATCAAAATATTTAATTACATGAGATGTAAATTTAATTTTGAAAGAGAAAATAAATTCCTTAAACACTAATATAAATGACATGCGAAATGTGGTACAAGTTTACAGTAGTTTGGGGCCACAGAATATGCGGAGCAAAATGGCACGGGTGGGCTATTTATAGCACACCTCGACTATAACTGACAGCAACAGCCCATACACTGAAAAATAAAATTGTTGACACATTTTGAAACGATAGGCAACAGAGAAGAGAATAACACTCTTCTCGTCATTTCGCCCAAACATTTCGCGAAAGAGAAATATATATATATATTGCGAAAAATTTTCGCTGACTCTAACAAAACAACACAAATTGTTTTCAGTTCTTTGTAAACAAAATTAGTGTTAGTTTTTTGTTCGCTAACCGCAAAAAAGTGAGTGAATTAACAGTTATTTTTTGTTTTAAAATTTATAATTAGCGACAAATTCTGTATATAACAGGCATTTGTATTCATTGTTTATTTGTGTACCAATTAATTCACTATAATTACTGTATTGTTTTTGTTTCGACACCATAGTGGCGCCCTCACCACCCGTCCCGCCACCTCCGCCGGGGTGCGCGGGTGCCGTCCTATTGCCCCACTGGCGCAATGAGCCCCTGCCCTCCCATTTGGCCCCATCTAAAGAGCAGATAGAGAAGGAACAGTACGCACACCTGCCCGACAAACTGCTCAATACACTCAACAAGGATAAAAAGCCCTTCACATACACCCCCAGTGGAGTGTCCGGGTATTTGAACTTAATATCTAATTTAATAATTATGTTTTAAACTAATACCAACGATGTGTTAATACAGTGTCCAAAAAGGACAGTTAGACTTAACAAACATACGTTCGCCAAAAATGAAGAAACGTTTGCTCAGAAATTTGGCCGCCGATGAAGAGGACGAAGACCAGGGCTCAGACGCCGAACGCGTCACGCGATCGGAAACACCCGAAGTGTTGTCCAAACAGAAGCCGCCCAACAATATCAGGCGCGCCGTCACTCCGGAAGTGCCGCAGAAACAGCACTTGTATTCCTCTCCCAATCCGCCCCTCAATGGCACCAATTTTCCCGACATTCAAAAGCAAATCAATAGAGACTTTGAGTCGTTTATACAGAAACAGATGAAAGAGATGGAGACTTCGTTGAAGAATCGCCAGAATAATGGCTCAATCGATGTGAACGGTTTGGAGCCCGAAGTGCAGGAGCTTTTGGACAGTTATGCGAACCGGCAAACAGTAGTGTCACCGAAGGCAACGCCCAGAGAAGACGATTTGATTATCACCAATGGAGTGGATAATAATTATGTCAAACCTGAGAGTACAAAACCGGTGGCCATACCCCAGGCCAGAGCACCGGCGCCGCCCCCACCGCCACCGCCGCCCCACAGAATGGATAACAAAAGTAATTATTCGCACGAAAGTCAGCAAACAAACGGAAATAATGGTATAAAACCCAGTAGTGGTAGTGATTATAGATTTGATAGAAAGCGTGATAATTACTATAATAAAAATGATGTCAATAATAAAAATGATGTCAATAATAATAATGATGTCAATAATTCCAACCCTTGGGATTCAGATCTGCTCAGACATGTGCTCGACGGCGGACTACAGGGTATGTTTTGTGGAGAAAATAAATTCATTAAATGTAAAGTCAATATAATATTGAATTTTTCAATGTGTAAAACAGAGGAAATTGAAAAGTTTGAACAAATATCGATGGAAACGGAAAAGTCATTTGAGAGCCCAAATCACACACAATATCCGTCGCAAAGCAATCGGTTTTACGAGACGAAAGAGGCGACAAGTTTTGAGACGTTTGGCAAAAGTGTGCCAAATCGTGGGCCCGGCGTCTGGAGGCCTTCCAACCAATTTGTTGACGACATGTACGGCACACAAAGTCAATCCACATCTCCGTACGGATCGCTCACTCGGGGCTACAATCGGAATGACTTGCGATCGCCTCAACCCTATCAGAGCCCCCAATCGGTGGACAACACGAGAGGCAGGAATTGGTCGCAGAGTTCGTCCGCTCAGCCGCGGGTCGGCCAGAGGTCGGCGTCCGTCGAACCCACGTATAGCCGAAGTGTTGACATTCCATCAAATCTCTTCAGATCTGGTCTATCAGAAGGTATGGCCAATCGGTTTACACTCACGACTAAACATATGCTAAATATTATTCATTAAAATACTATTTAAAGAAACAAATTAATGAGAAAAACAGACAATATTTTGGCTCATTTGATAGAAATGTATTATAAATTACTTTATTTCCTACGCTCTGTCTTTCAAAATGATGAGACATTTTATTTGTTTTTTGTTAATTTTAAGTAAAATTATATATAGTTTCACATTATTCTTGCATTTATAATACGTCTGTCAGTTACTAATTAATGATTGGGAAGAAACTTTGCATTTTTATGTGTGCTCCATTATTTACCAATTAATTTAAATTAACCCCGATAATATTATATTAACAATAGTCTAATTTATGTTTTGCACACATTATTTTATTATTATATAATTGTTTTACTTATGTTTTATTTCAATTTTCTTTTCTAAAACAACCATTACTTTTGTCTCAAACTTGTGGTTCAGTTCCCAACTATAACTCCAGACCCAAACCCTTCTACCTGTCATCCGAACCCCCGACACCAACCGCCACACCTCCGCCACAGTTTATGTCCGCATCACAGCCGCAGCCAATGCAAGGGCCGTCCCCTCCGACTCGAGACAACCAATTCTCTACATTTGGCAAAAATGTTTGGCCACAAAAAATCAGTTATCAAAATGATTTCAGAGCAAGTGGTAAAACTAAACCATACAATCAATGAATAGACACATTAAATTAGCGCATAGAATAGCCGTAACCATTAAATCAATGTCTAAAACTATAATCTAAATTCTAGTGATGTATACTTTAAGCAAATTATATTAATTACATCGTTATATACAATGAAATAAACATTTAGATACGGAGTGTTCGCCGCGGACTAAATATTTAGATGGTATGTACGCCCAGATCACAGCACCTGAGGATTGGGATCGGAGTAACAGCAGTACACCCATAGCCCGACCGCCAGTCGACCGTAACATCAAATTCGCGGACCGTATCGTCACGTCTCCGGACAGGACTGGCTTTAAATCGCCGGAACCGCCCAAACCTATCCTCAAGAAAAAGTTGCCCCCATCTGAGCGCCCGCCGGACCCGACGCCCTCCAAATACATGGGCGCTAACATCCCGTCCCGTTCTTTCCGCTTCTTGCAGCTCATGACCGGCGAAGACATCGACAACCAGTTTATCACCGATAATAACACCCCAAACGGATTGGAGAACAGAAGTCAGAAACCAAAGACCGGTTACGAGAGTTGCAAACAATTCAATAAAGCCGTCACTTATTCCGATTATGACAACGACTTCGGGACTGACTTTTGAAAGACGTTTAGTTATTTTAAACTATTTATAAGACATTAATACCGATTAATATTTCAATTAATTTTATTTCTCCTCTTTTAATATATTTATTTGTTGTTTGAAATTTTAAAACCAAATCCAATTTCACTAAATATATAGAAAAATTAAAATTTATTGTTATTATTATCTGTTTTACTGTTAATTAATGTTTATATTAATTTTAAGTTAAATTTTTAGTTTAATTAATTGGTTGAATAATTTTTAGTTGTTATTAAATAGAACTTGTCAATAAACTAAAAGTTTTAATTAATTGTAATTATAAATTTTATATCTATTTTCAATTTGATAATAACAATAGTGTTGTCATGTATTAGAAACCAATTGAAGGGAACACTGATTACAACCAAAATTAAATATAATTGAAGTCATGTAAAAATCAGTTAAAAAACTATTCAATCAATTAATAAATCTTCAAAATTGTTAAATAAATGATGATTTTCAAAATTAAGTTTACGATTAATTATCTAAATATTATTTCGACCAAAATCTTAAAAATTATAAATGTTTTTTAGGACTAATTATTGGAAACTAAGACAACTTTATAACCGATAGATAGCATTAAGTTAGAAAACATCTGGATATACAATGTTTAGCACAAAATGAACTAAATATAAATTAAATTGATTAACAAGATGTCCCACAGAATACATGGTGTTTGATTAAAACATAAACAAACGGCCTGTTAAATGTCGCCCAACAGACACTCGTCTATATATTTAACCATCATAATTTTTATTTCGTTTCAAATATCCAACATATTATGCGATAAGCTAACTGGTAACTATCAATCAAACAAACTAAAAATCATTAGCAACTAAACCAAAATGATAAAATGCATAACTATTGCAATTATAAGCGTCATACGAGGACGATGACGAGCACGCACCCGACCCCGTGTGCGCCGAGCATCCGGACAGTGGGGTCGGCGCTAAGCTAATGCACGGCTGGTATTTCAACGTAGAGATATCCCAGTGTCGGGAAATGGTGTACAGAGGACACGGAGGTAATGGCAATCGGTTCCCCACTTTACACGACTGCGAGCACCGGTGTATGAGAAAGTACGTGGAGGGCGCTCTCGACTCCGGGCCCAAGATTAAGGCGCCCATCAATCATCGTATGAAAGAAGTGAAAAAGCACTTCAGCTATCGGTTGACACCAGTGGAGAGGCATTCAGAACACCGCAAATCCCGGGGCGAATTCGATGAGGAATACGGTTTGAATTACTTTAACAATTGATGTATTTCTTAAATTGATGTGAATTTTACGCGTTTTGCAGAAAAACCTAAACAAAGACAGACTGGAAGAAAGAAGAAGGTGTCGGTTATGAGCGTAGATTTCACTGATGATGATTGAAGTGGTGTTTATGTAGACGGAAACCAACGATAATTTCCCATTAATTATTTATTTATTATAAATTAATAAAATAATACATTTGATAAATTCTTAACAAAAAATCTTAAATTTTTCTTATATATTTTTTATAATTTTTTAATAAAGTAATAAATAAAGCATTGATTTGAAGTTAAATAACTTTTTGTTCCGAAAGCGAAGAACCTCCTGAAAGTTTGGGGGCACACCATATACTCCCTTAGGAGTATTTTGGAAGATTTTTATTTCACCTTTTTAGCACCTTTTGGGACGTTAGCACCTTTAGTAACTTTTAAGTAACTTTTCGCCTATTTTGCTAATTTTATACGTTATTAATTGATAAATCACAAAATACTCAACAAGTCAAAAATGAAAACAGGTTTAATGTGATATTAAAAATTTTCAGTCATAGTTTTTAGTAATCCGCATTTCATTAAACTCTTTTCGACTAATAAACAGTTGTTAAGCGACAGACAAATGAGTTTCGAAACGGAAAACCTCAAAAAATACTTTGTGATACAATTTAATTCAAAAACAAATGTTATTGACCTTTGAATGTATCATTTTGATGCAAAATAAATAACTTTTTCATAACTTTTTAGCATTTTTTAGCACCTTTTTAGCCATTTTTAAGTAACTTTTATAGTGACTTTAAGACTGGTTTTTGTCACCTAAAAGTCAATGCTTTAGTAATAAATCATATTACTTTTATTATTTGTTACTTATATTTAGATAATATGGAACAAAATTGGGATATTAAAACGCTCATCATGGTAATTTTAAATAATTAAACTAAATAATTAATAGTATATTTTGTTTAATTAATTAATAAATAAACATTTATTTTATATTAATACAAGGTTTAAAAATTATTGCAATATTTAAAATGGCTCTTATTTAATAATTGAATACTATTTCCATAAGGTATTTTCTCGTTGATCTAAAACTTATGTATCATTTATTTATCAACTAAAACAATTGCATAAAAATGAATTATTTATTAAAAATTACATTAATTATTGTTGTATTGAATTGTTTTCAAAGCGTAATCACTGAAGAGAGTAAGGAATTGGAAAAAGAGACTGACGATCAGTTATTTGACAGTAATTATTGATACATTACTAATATATTATTAATATTTGTAAATTAATTAAACAATGAGTTGATATGTACTAAACAGGAATATTCTCTGATACGGAACAGCTCTATCCCGAACAGAAACCCATCAAAAAATATGATAAATTCTTCACCAAATATGTGAGCCCTCGGATCGACGATCACACAAATGCTGTCCATTCGCCACAACTCCACGAAAACGCCGACTTCGGCGCTATTCTTAAGCGCATTGTTTTTGATAAGAACTTTAGACTCAGAAATGAATATAAATAGTCAGTTGTTATGAAGACATTTATAATTATTTTAATTGTTAATTCATTTGTACTGTATTTGTAATCTATAAATCTAAATGTGTTTTTTTAATAAAATTATTTTTAACAAAAGTAAAACTTCAATTTTATTGTAAACAATTTGTTTAGCTTTATTAATTTTGCTTATATGTTTATTTATTATAGTGTATTCCACTAAATTTAAATTATCACTTAATTCACCAATTATAATTACATAAAGTAATAAGCCAAAACTTTCCATTTAAGGCATCCATATGGGAATCCATTATCAGTCAGTGTTTGGAAATTTTTATTAAAATAATGTTTAAATTCAAAATATTAATATGTATTTTATTTATATATTGTAACAATAAACTCGTTCAGACCGATGAAGAATCTGAACAAACGGATACTACCACTGAATCGACGGATACGACCACTGAATCGACGGATACAACGACTAAAGCCATTAATGCAAACAATGGCGACAGGTCTGGAGACAAGAATCTACAGACGAGTCTACAGAATATGGAGTGGGAATTAAAAGCAGTCAACTACAACAACCCCACGCAAAAGGTGCAAAATTATAAAATGATAAACAAGGTCAAAGTATATCCTCCGCCCGCATCCAATGTAGCCGAAGATATGAGAGAGTATGAAGTGCTTGAGGTAAGTTTGTTTACCAATAAAACAATCGTCATATTATTAATTTACACAATATATTACTGTATAATCATTATCAAACATTTGTTTATAAATCCAGTCCAAGAATATAAACGCATCGCACAGTTATGTTAACGTAAAACAAACTTCACTATTGCCGGGCACGAGGAGTAATACCCCGGTGGGCAAAATCCGTCAAATTATTGGATTTATACCCATTGTTAACAGTAATTAGTGTCTCAAAAGACACAGTAATCGCATTTTATTGACAGTATTGTGTTTACAACTATAGGGGCTTTTGGGACCAAGTGCTGGGACGACGTCGGGTGCTTCTCGGCCATGACCTTTAAGGACATAGAGATGGGAGATATTGCACTCTTGCCGATGAGTCCGCACCAGATTTCTCCCATATTTTACTTATACACACAACAGTCATTCAATCATACCATTCAATTTGAGTATAAGTTTAATACTAAAAAATTCAAAGACACTACTTTTAATCCCAGTCATATGACAGTAGTTATTGTCCACGGCTGGAATAGTGGACTAGAATCATGGATGATTGTATGTTATATTAACATGACCATTTAAATGATTGGACTATAAACTACTTTTTTTATAGGAAATGAAAAACAGTTTATTGACTCAGAAAATGAATGAATACAATGTTATTTTAGTTAATTGGCAAAATGGTCTGAAATTAATAATTATTACAAATTAATGCAATTGATTTATAATGGCAAACATGTTAAAATGTTAAAACAGGCGCAAAGCAATTGAATTACGCTCTGTCGGCGGCCAATACCCAAGTGGTCGGTGCGTTGATTGCTTTCTTCATAAACCGGATTTGTGCGGACACTTACGGACGCGATGTAATCACAAACGATCAATTTTATTTGGTTGGTCACAGTCTGGGCGCACATGTGGTGGGATTTGCCGGCAAACGGCTTATCAATCCACAAGTGCACAGAGTCACGGGCCTCGACCCCGCGGGTGAAAAATGTTCCCAACGATTGTATTATATTTTTATTACACTTATTTTTACTCTTATCTAAAGGACCGGGATTTGAGGCGAATAGTACTAACATAAGACTGGCGTATACGGATGGAAAGGAGGTGGACATTATTCACTCAGATATGGCCAGTATGGTGCTAGATGGTTTGGGTCTCAATGAGACCATCGGTGACATCGATTTCTATCCTAATGGAGGATATATGCAAGTAATCAATTGTATTTTACTGCTAATGAATGAAATAGTAATTTAACCATATTGTAATTGTGCGCGTGTTAGCCCGGGTGTCCTCAAACCAACTTGGTGGTCAGTGTATTGAAGGCGTCGGCCACCCTATCGTGTTCTCATTGCAGGGCATATGATCTCGCCATCGCTTATGGTTGGACTAACTTATTTTGAGATACATTTAATTGCAATCATTTTAAAATCAGTTTTACTTATACCGTACAGACAGACCCAACGATCTATGTCTGCCAATAGGCTATGAGTGCGATTCGTACGCCATGTTTGTTGAGGGCCGGTGTGTCAACTGTGACAACATTAACGGCATAACCCGGTGTCAGCTCATGGGTCTCTACCCGTTGGAGAGGAGAGACACTAACATTACGGCCCAATATTTTAAGGGAAAGGGACACAAACTCTACTTGAATACCGGCGATGGAAAACCATTATGCCGTCAGTTGTTATTATTTATTGATTATCATACAGTTATCATACATTTATTTTATAAAACTCAACCATAATCATAACTATAATTATTACAGTGACTCACTATCAGATAGCTTTACACGTGACGGCCGACTCGGAGGCGGGCGCTCGCGGACAGATCGCGCTGAATATAGGCGCCTGGTATGAGGGCGGCCAACGCAATATGACCAACATCCGGACCATGTCCAATATAGTTCCCGGCAAAGTTCATACTATGCTATTGACGACAACTGATTTGATCACTAATATAACGAGCGCTTCGTTTAGTTGGTATACATTTGACAAAACTCCGTACTCAACGAACAAGGATAAGGGCTCAAAGTTTGGATTGCAATTTATCGAGATCAATTATATGAGCCATATATTCGAGCCGTAATGCCCAATAGTCTTACCTTGTTGGTTATTTTGTTTTTAATGTGATAATTAATTTGCAAACATAGGATCCGAAATGATTACTCCGTGTGGTTGTGTCCCGTAGAGAACGTGGCGATCACACCGGACGGGTCGCCGCTATACTTCACGGTATGCGAGAATAAGGATCAGTTGCCAAAGTCTGCCAAACAGATATTGCCATCAGCTTTGGTACCCTTCACGAGCTCTAATGATATCTATTCTGTTGACTATAACAATAGGTTTCCCATAAGAAATAAACTAGTTCAACCAGTTAAAAAGTTATAATTTTAATGTGAATTCTACAGTTTTACATAGATAAATTAATTTAAGTAAATGTTTTATCTGAGTTTAAATTATTTATTGCTATAAATTAAATATATAATTTTAATTGTAAATAAAAATTATTGAATATGACTGAATAACATCTGGAAATAAATGCATGACTTTATATTTTCATAATAACTTATTATGAAACGATTTACATTAATTGTTTATATTTTATTTTATAATTACAATATAATTAATGGGGATATAGACACTACCGAGGCCACTTATGAGCATGAGTTGACTGTAAGTTAAATAAAATAACAAATGTTTTGCAATTTTTAGATAAAACACAAATAATTTTGATTTAATGTTTTGCTTTGAAGACAAGACATCACAACGAGTATGTAGTCTACGGACCAAAATATTTTAGGGCTGAACTCGATGACAATGTAATTGTATTTTATCATTAATTTAAAAATGTGGCTAAAATTATACTAATTAGGTGGTGCAACCTAGATCTGCCACATCTGCCAAAGGGTTGGATCCGTTTAGACGTTTGGGAAGTTTAGATATATTAAGTGAATTGCGAGAAGACGTCAGTAGATTTATATCTAAAATACCAATCATTGGTCGTAAGTATTATATAAATTAATATATATTTTATTACTACATAATTAATTAATTAAATTGCATTACCTATATTATCAGGTAGTTTAGGCACCGAGTGTTGGGCCACAATTGGCTGCTTCTCTGCCTTGACTTTTAAAGACATAGTGAACGGACACATAGCTGTCCTTCCGTTGGGACCGCAAGAGATTAATATAACGTTTCAAATGTATTCACACGGATCTCAACATCAATCAATTGAACTGAAAATTGATTTTAAGAAAAGTCAGCTCAAAAACTTTGACCCAAACCATAGGACGGCAGTTATTATCCACGGATTCATGGGTCACATTCAAGAATGGATGATAGTATAAATTAGTATAATATTACCCACATTTTTTAAACTAAATTTTTATTTGATTCAAATTTTATAAACTAAATTATATTTTTATACGATAGTATAGTTAACAAAAGTAATTTAATTTCAAGTGTTTTGACCACTATTTTATCGTTTATCTAGGACATCAAAGACACATTGTATTCAATGGCAACTGGTAATGATAGTTTTAACGTAGTGTTAGTCGATTGGCATAAGGGTATTTATCATTAGAGACATTAATTCATAAATACTGTAATCTAGTAATAAGTAAATAACAAGTAAGTTTATAACAAAAACCAAATGTAAATTCAGGAGCGGAGGCCAATTACCCGTTGGCCGCGTCCAACACCCGAGTGGTGGGCGCTCTCATCGCTGAGTTTATTCAACGACTTTGCGAGCGATTTGACGGTTTAACAAACGAGCGCTTTTGGCTCATTGGCCACAGTCTGGGCGCCCATACGGCCGGATATGCCGGCAAACGGCTTACTAAACCACAAGTGGGCAGATTAACTGCGATGGACCCGGCGGGTACTCATTATTTGAAATATGCACAATTTTATATGTAATTTTCACTTCATTTAGGGCCCGGATTCAGGACTAATGAATCTGAATGGAGATTAAGCCTTAAGGACGCCTCAGTGGTAGATGTGATCCATACAGATATGTCCGACTCCTTTGACGACGGGTTGGGCGTCAATGAAGCCATCGGTGACTTTGATTTCTTTCCAAATGGTGGCAAATATCAGGCAAATGATAATTAATGCATATTTTATAATATATGTAACCATTCATTCATTTTATAAATCCATTCATCCATTAATAGCCGGGATGTCCGAGAAGTGATGTGATCCCCAATTTGCTTAAAGCTATTGTCACTGAAATTAATGACATCTCTTGCTCTCATAACAAAGCGCCCGCATATATGACTGGCTTTGGTTTGTAATTCTCTCTCTCTCTCTCTCTCTCTCTGGTTTATAATTGTATTTTTCTAAATAACAATTATAATTATAGTACCGATAATTTGATTTGATTAAGTCGAGTCGGCTGTGAACGACAATAATGAAAGTGTGCTCATAATTGGACACTATTTTTGTGATATGAAAATTGTTTCACGACTTCTCGACTCTTATGATTGTTATGTTATTAAATATTTGTGACGAAAATATTTTTTCTTATTCTCCGTTTACTATACTCTATGTCTTGAGAAATAGTCGTTTGGTTTTGTTTTTTCATTATATAATTAATCATTTGACTTATTGTGAATTTGAAATCTAGTAAATGGTTATGAATTGTGTGTTTTGTTGACGATTATAATGATATTTCATTTGCGAAAGAGATGTATGTGTTTAGTGTACGCCAAAAAATATTGTCTCCATTTTATTCAATTTAAATTTATATTTTTGTCGTTGAATAATAAAGTATTAGTCCTTATTTTAATGTCCAATAGTGTTGTGAAATGGTTTTTATTTAGTTTAATAGTAGTTATATGTATGAGAAGTAATTTAATAACAAAATTTTAATGCTTAAAAGCATTTATTTCTTTATATTCAATTTAATAGAAGTTTAGTTCAAAAATGGGTTTGAATTGAGAGAATTATATGATGATTAAAATGATACTTATTTTTGGTATACATTTGATACGTGTATTTCACTAATACTTTAATGAATGAGATAATATCGATATTAATATCGATATATTTATTATACACGTATATTTGTAAAAATATATATTTTTATAAATATAATTTATATAAATGTTAAATTGTGTATAATTTTTGTAGTTTATAAAAATAGATTTAATTGAGCCCTAGAATTAAGACATGTTTTTTATTTGAGTCCACAATTAGACACGAGTTTTAGTACATTACAAATATATACCCCATATATAGAGAGAGAATAATATTAATAACTAAAACATGGCTTTAAAACTGATCCGAAAATACCATTAATGTCTATATATTTATACGAAATTGGGTTTTGATATAAGAGTTAATGTTGTTTTATATAAAGTTTATATTAAATTTTAGTTAATTTGAATTTATTTCAAGATATCATACGTGTGTTTATCTCCTGGATCTCTCTCTCTCTCTCTCTCTCTCTCTCTCTAATGGTTTTTATGGTTTCCTTAGATATTAACTGAAAAACTCATTTCAATATTAACTCATAATTTGAAGTAATGTTTTGTTGTTTTTTCATTAAATAATGTTTAATATTTAACTTATTTTCTTCTTCAACACTTGTGTCTTGACGTGAATATTAATATTTTGATGGAAAAAATGTGTTTATATTTTACCTTTTAATCATATTTTTGGCGAAAAAATGCTAATAAAAAATATTAAATGTATTTAATTGTGAATTTATTTTTTATGGAAATATTATGTGTTTTCTGAATATATTGGCTGAGAATTTATTACTTGAATACAAATTTTTTTGTTTAAAACTTGAAAATTCTGTCCGTTTTTTGTTTATTTGTCTGTGCGATGAGTTATGTCATGGATTTGTTATACAACACAAAAATAAATCCTTTTTATCCCATTTTAAACACAAAAAACACAGCAATACTTGACTTAACATTGAATATGAAAATCTCTGGTATTTTTTCATCTTCTGGTGTAAAGAAAATAAAAAACGAAAACTGGATTTTTTTGCATTCAAATTATATTGAAATGATATTCCCATTGTATGAGTGAGAGACCCATCGCTCATCTGAATATCATTTGAATACTCTTTTGATGTTTGAATATTTCTAATACCACTTCTTTCGTCTTTTTCCATACCTCTGGATAACTGAAGAATTTGTCTGAATATTGATTCCAATGCATCCCATATGCCATAGATATCTCATTGATGGCTACGTTTTTTGTTGTTATTATTATCATTTTGCCTTCAAATGTATAAACTTTTTTCTCGTTGAAAATGCTATGTATTTCTCATTTTTTTCACTTTTCTGTTTTTTTGTTTGCGAGAGAAAGAGTGGAGAATAGGATTGAATGTCACAAATGGTATTCACGAGCAAAAACTTCTTATATATATTATTTTATAATAGAAGTGATAGTAAAAGAGTAAAGGATTCCTAATGTTTGGTACAGAATATTCTGGTATTGATCGGTCTCTCTATCCGTCTCCCTATTGAACGACACAATCTCTCTATGACTATGTCTTTGATGAATGATATTTTGCTTCAAATATATATAATTCAAGCCCTCATTCAGTCGCCAATTTATTCCTATATTTGGCGCACATTTATTGCATCGTTGACTGAATTGTGTCCATCAATGGTCTCCTCATTCCTTATTCAACGACAGATTGCCAGAGAGAGAGAGAGAGAGAGAGAGAGAGAGAGAGAGATTTTAATGAAAAAACAACAAAACATTACTTCAAATTATGAGTTAATATTGAAATGAGTTTTTCAGTTAATATCTAAGGAAACCATAAAAACCATTAGAGAGAGAGAGAGAGAGAGAGAGAGAGAGAGACCTAACAAATGGCATCTCATTGAATTGGCAGTGCATTTAACGTCTGTATTCAACACAGAAATGCAATGATTATAAACTCAAACTTCTCTCTCATTCTCTCTCTCCGACCGACTCTTACGTTAATATATTGTGTTTTTCGACTGAAAAATCGTTTTTTAAATCAAAAGACATTCGAAGAAAAAACATTTTCGTAATCTTTTATTTCAGTCACACATTCGTTGATATATATAATGGACGGCATATAAAAAGCAAAACAAGACATTCTGGTATTGAATACGAGAGAGAGAGAGAGAGAGAGAGAGAGAGAGAGAGAGATTTGATTGAATATGGTTAGTGGACTGGTTATATCGTGAATGGTATGGTTGTTGGCCCCGGTATTCACCACTCGATTGCCAAAAAACAAAATGCCTGAAAATGACACGAAGTCTATGCGAAAAACAAAGCATTTTCTCTCTTTCTTTTCACTTCACGTCATATGAAAAAAGTGCAGTTGTTTTGTGTGTTTGCGTCGACTTTGAAAACTCACTGACATTTTCGGTGTTCGTTAATGTCCTGTCGTTTTGGAGTTTCCGTTTCGGTTCCCTTCCCTTCGCCTCCCATTCCCCTCGCATTCACGCCAAATGTTTTTTACTGTTATTATTATTATTGTCATTTAGTGTACATTTTTACCATGTTTTGTGTCTAGAATATTCCACTGTTTCTCTCCCTCTCTTTCACAAGACCTCAATTATAATCGTCTGTTTAGTTGTTTACCGAAAGCCGTAAATGAGTGACACATACTTTTGCCAATCATTTGTCTCCCAAAATGAATTGGGTTTTCAAAATGATGTACAAAAAGTTTGTTTATCTCAGTCTCGCTATACATATATAGACTGTGTTTTTGGCTATTTTTAATGATGAATCGCCGAGTATTTGGTTATATAAGTCTTTCTCTCAATTTATAAGCCATTTGATGTTCACAGCTATAAGAGAGCCATACTTTCGATGATTGTTTGTCTGATGAGACAAAAAAGCATTCATTTTATGTGTTATTTTTATGTCTTATATAAGAGAAATTTCGCTGAAAATGTTTTTATTTCATGCTTTTTGTTGTAAAAACTATTAGCAATTCTTTTAAGTATTTTTGTCACAACTATATATGTGTTTGTTTTGTGTGTGTTTTTTGCCTAATGTTTTATCTTATGAAACAGTAAAATGTCAAGAATTTATAGATATAATGGGTTTGTTTCAATGTATTTGAGTTTTTTGTGTCCATTTGTTGGCTAATAAAACGTGGAAAAAATATTTTTCATTTATTTTTAATGGTATTTATAAAATGTATTATACGAATGAATATTAGCGTAATGTCTATACAAATACACACATGAATTATAAATTCAATATTTGACAGTAATTTTGTTTCTTGAGCTAAGGATAGAGTAGTAAAATATTTTTAATACATTAAATATTTTCTACTGAAGACTAGTGTTTGAATACAAGTTAAAGGAGGGGAGGAGTGAAGGCATTGAAAACTACTTTTGTGTTGAGAGAGAAAAACTAGTCTTAAAATTTAAATTTTAAAAACCTTTTTGATTTTCTCTTAAATGATTTATATGTATAATGATTGTGTTATAATTGAGTAAAATCGTATTTCCCGAATTTTCCCGATTTTGGCCTTTTAATTCCCGAATTTGGATGTTTTTACTCCCGGAAAATGGAACCTTTAGTAATGTCTATACAAATACACACATGAATTATAAATTCAATATTTGACAGTAATTCTGTTTCTTGAGCTAAGGATAGAGTAGTAAAATATTTTTAATACATTAAATATTTTTTACTGAAGACTAGTGTTTGAATACAAGTTAAAGGAGGGGAGGAGTGAAGGCATTGAAAACTACTTTTGTGTTGAGAGAGAAAAACTAGTCTTAAAATTTAAATTTTAAAAACCTTTTTGATTTTCTCGTTTGAGTTTTTGGTGTTATTTTCTTTTTCTTTTCTTTCGGTGTATTTTGTTTTGTTTTTTCTTCATTTTCTTATTTTTTGTATTCATTTTTGCCGTCAAAACGAGAGCATCGACACCAAGAAAGAAGTAAACGATAAACGAGTTAAATATTATAACATACATGTTATGGCGATTGAAAAGCTACATGATATTATTATATAATGTATGGCAAGAGTTGTGTCGCAAAATATTAGGGACACAACTCAGAGGCAGAAAGAAATGCTTGAAATTAATTTTTGTTGAATATTATAAAATATTTAGAAATTTGTATTCTTGTATAGTATACGTTTTATGGTGAAAC